CTAGTGGGGGTTGTAGCGGCAGTAGTGCGGCGTCGATGAGTGTTGGGACTTTCTCTACCTTGAAAGATAAAGACACGTGCAAGCGTACACGATCACAAGTAATACTTGGGAGTAATTCCAAGGTCGAATCCTCAGGGACTTTTGCTTTAAAAAATGAATTTAAGAAGTGAAATGGTTCAAAATGTAATTCTGTTTTTGGAGAAAATGGTGATAAAAGTTATCCTTTGGGGTTGCAAATCTCAAGGTTTTTTTTTTAAAAAAAAAAACACAACCTTTCTAATTCTTACCTTAGTTTTGATGAAAAATATGGAAGTTACACAATTTTGGGAAAAAGCGCCAGTCATTATCTGACTAATTATTGAAATTTGAGTTCTACTCTTTCACGAACCGCTTTTGGTTGTTGCAGAGCCTAGCGCAATATAGAATCACATTTTTATGTGTGATTACAATCATAGAATGTATTTATGTCATTTTCATTTATGGGTCAGAGGGCCTATGTCTAGGACGCTAATTTATGCACTTATTTTTAAATAACATCCAACTTTGGTGTATAAATCAGTTTTCCAGTGGCCAAATGGAAAAAAGATGCAAAGAAAGGTTTTTAGAAATCAACCCAAAATTGCGCCAGGGATTTTCTGGGCGTTTTCCCGACCGTGTTAAAATTAAATCATTTGGGCAAAGACATTCCACAATGAAGTTAAACTAAATTAGTGCGTAACTAAAGAAAAGAAATTACACAACAGAGAGTTAATGAAATTGAGAGCAAATGGGATGCAAATGGGATGATGAACTAATAGGGCAAAGCTCCCTTAAATAGGACTCCAAAGTGGTTGAACTCCCCACCAAAATAGGAGGAAATGAGTTGAGATATTCCAAACAAACTCAAATTGACTTGGACTCGGCTGTTTTCGATCCTCCTAACCACTTATGATTTGATTTCGTGCTTTCCAAGCTCGTTTTGAGAATTTTTGCAAAAGAGTGCCAGGTGCTTTTTTCCCGCACATGGGAAAACTATGAGTTTCTTCCAATTTTGGCCACATTTTTCTTCCATTTTTCTCAAAATACCATATATTACAAATTATCAAAAAATGTTCTATGCAAGTTCTACTTTAAGAATATGTAAACATTTTAAATTAAAACCGAAGGGAAAGGGTTCGTTTTTATGGTCAAACAGGCTTAAATAGTCACATTTCTAGAGTAAAAAGTCAACCCTAACACACCCCCAAACTTAGCCATTGCTTGTCCCCAAGCAAAAACAACAACAACAAATCCAAAACAACCAACATGCTAGAAAAGATTGATGAGCAATAATCCAAATATTCTAAGTTAATGAATCATATTTGCCTCAAGAAGGACTCTATAAGCTAAACCTTCTAACTTCTATCTAAAGCCAACATGCCATGTTCTATTATTGTTTTGAAAATAAAAATGATTATAATCTCCTTCTTTTGTTTTGATTCAAAAGTTTACATCAAGAAGACACGTGGACCGGCTACTTGCCCCTGAAGTTTTTCACTCACTAACGTCGGTTTCCAACCACACCCACTCATAGAAACCTTTTAGGTAGCAACCCGATATAAAATGATGTCAACAATAGATTTCACGAAGTCACGTTAATATGTAGGCTATTACCCTCAAAGATGCTAACGCCACCCATTTGAAGATAAATGAGCATCTACCGTGGGATTTGCAAAAAAGTAAGTGCATTCTCTTGCTGCTCGTGTTCCTTACCACTCTTGTCTTTCTCTCACTTTTATTTTTCTTTCCC